ATTTTATTATTGATTTATGATTTCATGCACATTAACAACTGTCTTGAAGCACATACTACAATGCTAACAACATTATCATACTCATGTAGGCATCTTCTATTGTGTATAAACCACCTGGGTACAGTACTGATCAGCTGTATGAAAAGTTTTGAGAAAGCGTTAATCATGACATTGACACTGCTACTGGTGACCCTATGAAGTACTGATCAGCTGACATTCACGCATCTTGTATGTTGCATGAACGCATATTAAAAATCAACTTATTAATTCATACAATTTATATTCTTAATATGCGTCCACTTAACCTTTAACGTGCTTTTAAAAAAACTTTAATATGCGTTAATTTTCGTGACAAATAAAAAGTTGAAATAAAAAATTACATTACACATTGCTTAAGTTCATATCTTAATGAGCGTTCGTTTGCATACTAAAATAACATGGAAAATAATTATCATTAAAAACAACTATAAAAAAATATAAATTCAAATAAATTAATGTGCGTTCAAAAACACCATTATGTGCGAGTTATTAAAATACAACGTGCGGGACCTCAGTTCTTGATTTCCGTACGTTTGAGTACCAATTAAAATAAATCATTTCGCAAAACTCCTTAATATGCGTCTCATATCTCCTTAATATGCGTCTCAAATCTCTTTGATATGCTTATCATATATCTTTAATATGTGTCTCATATCTCTTTAATTATGCGTCTCATGTCTCTTTAATATGCGTCTCGTAACTCTTTAATATGCGTCTACTATCTCTTTAAAATGCATCTCTTATATCTTTATTATGCGTCTCATATCTCATTAATGAACATCCGTCCGTCTAACACTCACTATGCGTAGATGCAATACACAATGTGCTTCAAAAATATAACTTATCATTCTCCATTTTCATAACCAAATAAAGTAGATCAAATTTCTGAAATAAAAAATAAAAAAAACAAATGTATATCCACGATAACTACATACTATATAACAACAGAAAATTGAAAAAGATTTGGAAACAAAAACAATGGACATCGCAATGCTAAACGGTCGAGAAACGATAGACAACTGGTCGATTCTTTGAAAAGCAAAAACAACGGCGACGGCAATGCGAACGACGATATAGAACAGCGATGAAAGTTAATTTAATCAAAATTACTAATTTGTCCCTCAGTACGCGAATACAATTAAAAGTACGCGAATTTCAAACTTTGAGATCAACGGTCAGGATATTTGTACTCATTAAAAACGAACGGCATCCTCGCAACCGCACCTAACAGTGCCACCCGCACCAGAACCCTTGACTATATATATATATATATATATATATATATATATATATATATATATATATATATATATATATATATATATATATATATAGAAAAACAGAAAGACTAGGAAAAAATGAGATCTTTACACTTAAAATAATTTATTTATTTATTTTTAAAAAAAAAACTCTCATTTCTACCGATAAACAAAGAAAGAAATGTGACATAAAGTTTAATTCTAATCGAGCAAGAATTTACCAAGTTTTAAAAGAAATACAATGAGAAAACCAGCATACCTTAGGGTTTTATTGCAGAAGTAGTCCTTATTAAGGATTATAATTCATTTATTGTTTAGTCTTTACTGTTAGCTTTATTCTCCATTAGAGTCGGTCTTCTTTGTTGTGTAACTTATCTCCTGTAATGTCTCTTGGTTGTACCTATATATGCTTCTGCTCTTTAATGCTTAATACAACAGTTTATATTTTTCCTTCATATGGTATCCAGAGCCTAAAACACTCTCACGAGAATTTTTGTTTTTTTTTTCTCTCTTTTCTTCTCCTCTTTGATCCAATGGAGATTACAGATGGTACTGCTATCATTCAATTGTCTGCTCTTACTCACTTTCCAATTCGTCTCACTACGGTTAACTTTCCAGTATGGCGTCGGCAGATTCACTCCACTCTCATTGGACTTGGACTGCTAGGCTATATTGATGGCACACAAAAGGAACCAGCTGCGTTCCTTGACACTGCACGTCAACAACCAAATCCCTGTCACCTCATTTGGTTTCGCCAGGATCAGGTCATTGTCAGTGCTCTTCTCGGTAGTTGTTCGGAGACGATTCAGCCGATCATCTCTTCTGCTACCACAGCTGTTGATGCATGGTCTCGCCTAACCTCAAGCTACGCAAACACTTGCAGAAGACGTGTCATCTCTCTGAAAGCGAAAATGGCTAAGAATCCCAAGGGCTCACGGTCTGTGACTGAGTATCTTCAGGATATGAAAGCAATCGCAGATGATCTAGCCTTGGCCCAGAACCCAATCTCTGAAGAAGACTTGGTAGTCAGTATAATCACCCAACTTGGTGATGAATTCCATCCAATTATGGCAGCAATCCGAGTTCGTGAGAAATCAGTCACATATGGAGAACTGGCTGATATTCTCACAGACTATGAGAGATCATTAAAACAAAATAATGATCAATTGTTGCTAGCAACTGCCAATGTGGCACAACGAAAACCTTCCCGAGATTCCTCTATGAGCCGATCTGCAATAGTCCAATCTCGAGATCGAAATACAAATTTTCGCAAAAATAGAGGCACTCAAAATCGAGGGACCAACTCTAGCGATCGTCAGAACCGTTACTGCAATTTTTGTGAGTTCCCGGGCCATGACACAAAAGTTTGCAGAAAATTAGCACGGTTTCTACGCGACAATAACATTCACATCCAGGATGTGCAACAGTCCCGTAATCAACAACCAGTGTCCAACATAGCTACTACTTCACCTGTGACTTCGCCTCAGTGGATGTTTGATAGTGGGGCATCCCATCATGCTACATCCAGTCCTTCATCATTGCATGGATTCACTGACTACGGGGGTCCTGACGAGATACGTCTTGGGGATGGTAATACTCTAAACATTACACATACGGGTCACTCTACTCTCCCTACTGAATCTCGTATTCTCTCTTTAAGTTCAACTACCGCATACGTAGTTTATCTTGGCTCCAACATTATTTCTTGGAAGTCTACACGACAAAAGACCGTGTCTCGTTCGTCTACGGAAGCTGAGTATCGCGAGTTAGCTCATGCAGCAGCTGAACTTGTTTGGGTCCGTAGTTTACTCCAAGAGGTTGGTATTAACATGTCCCAGGCACCTACATTGTTCTGTGATAATTTAGGTGCAACATACGTGTGCAAGAACCCGGTCTTCCACTCTAGGATGAAGCACCTAGCATTGGATTATTTTTTTGTCAGAGATATGGTTACTGATGGTTCGCTGTGTGTGCGTCATGTCTCGTTGTCTGACCAAGTAGCTGATGTGTTGACGAAGCCATTAGGCCGAACACTGTTTCTGCGGTTTCGTTCCAAGATTTGTGTCACCGATGGTTCCTCCATCTTGCGGGGGCGTATTAAGGATTATAATTCATCTATTGTTTAGTCTTTACTATTAGCTTTATTCTCCATTAGAGTAGGTCTTCTTTGTTGCTTTACTGTTAGCTTTATTCTCCATTAGAGTAGGTCTTCTTTGTTGTGTAACTTATCTCCTGTAATGTCTCTTGGTTGTACCTATACATGCTTCTGCTCTTTAATGCTTAATACAACAGTTTATATTTTCCCTTCATAGTCCTCTGATCTGCAACAAAATTACCAGAACAATCAGCAAGTAAATTCAAGATGAAAAACAAAGATTATATTATAGAAAATGGGAAATGGATAAACCAAAATCAAATTAATTACTAGACCAACTAAAAACAACAAAACAACAAAGAGGAAAATGAAAATTAGGCTGGAAAAAGACTAATTAAAGGCTGGAAGAGAATTTCTAGAATCTAGTGAAATGAAGATTTAAGAACAATCAAACATCAATGGAATGAATTAAATGAAAAGAATTAAATTAGAACAAGAACTAGAAAAAGTTCAATTTTAAATGAAACTCACCAAAACACCGTTAAAGCAAATAATAACATCAAGGAATGAAGTTTGAGCAACGGACGCTATATATAAGAAGTCAATGGCGAGATGAGGTGTTGCTTGCGTGATTTTTTGTTTGGTGGTACTTTGAAACAGTTTGACGTTAAGTTTCAATTCATTTTTTAATTACTTATTTGAGTTTCTATTTTACTATATGGGGAGGTAGCTAAATAAAAATTTAAGGAAAGTCTATTATGCTAATAGCCGGCAGTCGCTATATCTTTTACGCTTAATATAATCTTGTATTGGGTTTTGTCTTTTAATTAATTACTTATTTGGGTTTCTATTTTACTATATCCGGAGGTAGCTAAATAAAAATTTAAGGAAAGTCTATTATGCTAATAACCACTATATCTTTTACACTTAATATAATTTTGTATTGTGTTTTGTCTTTTAATTAATTGTTACTTATTTGGGTTTCTATTTTACTATATCCGGATGTAGCTAAATAAAAATTTAAGGAAAGTGCCGCTATATCTTTTACACTTAATATAATCTTGTATTGGGTTTTGTCTTTTAATTAATTATTACTTATTTGGGTTTCTATTTTACTATATCCAGAGGTAGCTAAATAAAAATTTAAGAAAAGTCTATTATATATGCTAATATCCGCTATATCTTTTACACTTAGGGTCCGTTTGGAAAGCAGGAAAATGACATCTGGAAAATATTTTCTGGAAAATGAGTCATTTTTTCGGAAAACATTTTCATTTCCAGTGTTTGGTTGTATTCTGGAAAACTGTTTTTGTGTGTTTGGTTCATTTTCCAGAAAATGAGTAGAATTGTATAATTAAACATTTTAATTATTTTATTTAGAATATTATAACATGTATAATAATATATAATAATATAATAATATTTTTAAATATAATAAAAAACTAGTATAGTCCCCGTGCGATGCACGGGATGGATATTGTTCAAGTTATTGTCTAATTGTGTGAATAATTGTTTACGTTATTATGCTAAATTTGCGATATGAACGAATAGTTTAAAAAATAAAAACACGTTGAAACAAAATATCATAAACATCTGTTTATTAACAATTACAAATTATTGAAGATTTCATGGTATACCACGTTGGTTGTTGATGTAGCAGTTTTCCTTGAGTCACTGGCAACCAATATTTTGAGCCCACTTGGGTTGTTAACTCGAGATGCAGCAACGTACAATTGACCATGAACAAAAACTGGTTTTTTTAGAAGCAAACCTACATGTGACAGTGTTTGTCCTTGACTTTTGTTAATAGTCATTGCATACGCTAACATTAGTGGGAATTGTCGTCGTTGAAACTTGAATGGTAATCTTGTGTCTGAGGGTGACATCGACATTCTAGGTATCAACACTTTTTCACCTTTGTTAGCACCATCTATTAATTCAGCTTCAATTACACGGTCTGCTAACTTTGTGATCACCAACCGCGTACCATTACACAATCCAACTGAGTGATCAATATTTCTTAATAACATTACTGGGGAACCAATTTTTACAGTCAATGCATGGTTTGGAATACCTGAAGCTCTAATACCGTTCAAAAACTCAGGGGTGTGGACATCGCCGATTATTCCACTACCTGCATCCGCTTTGCATATTGTGTCGCAACTAAAATATGTTCTACTTTCAGCAGTATGCAGGTTACTCATATACTCATTAACTGAATTCACTACATCTAGTGTAGGGGCTAGAATAGCACGGCCTTTAAGATAACTCGCATTAGAGTTACCATTTGCAAACATTGGAAATGTACTCCGAACAATGGTTGCAATATGGTCACCATTGGTAGGTAGTAACATATCCCTAGGTATTTCTACTTCAGCATAACCATCATTATGTCCACCAATCTTTCCATCGCCTATTGCTGCAATCCAATCTGCAAATTGTTTGGCGCTACGACGCTCGTCGTGATTTTCAACATTACTTAGTCGCAAATTTTGTGTTAGCTTCATGACCCTGCAACTATCCCATAAGTATGACGAATTGATAGTAGCACATACTATATCTTGCCTAGTACCTTTGGGGACCACGGGTAGTATTTGACGGAAATCACCACCCAGTACTACTGTTTTGCCACCAAAAGTCTTGTTGGAACTGTTCGGGTCTACAAAACGCAACAGATCCCTCATGGTACGGTCTAGTGCTTCAAAACAATACTTGTGCATCATCGGCGCTTCATCCCAAATTATTAAACTTGTTTGTATCAATAAATCAACTAACTGGCTTCCTTGTTTAATGTTACATGTCGAATCTTCGTTTATTGCTATTGGTATTGCGAACCTTGAGTGTGCAGTTCGTCCACCAGGCAACAACAACGAAGCTATACCACTTGACGCAACATTCAAAACAATCTGGCCCTTTGAATGCAATGTAGATGACAATGCTCGCCACATAAACGTTTTCCCAGTACCACCGTAACCATAAACAAAAAACAAACCACCCAGCTTACTGGAAACGTCTTCTAGCACAGTATTGTAAATCGATCTTTGTTCTTCCGTCAACTTACCACACAACTCTTCAGCCTCATTCTTTAAAAACTCACGGTCATATGATAATTCTTCATACAGCAATCGATTACGTACCAATGTAGAGTTAACCATTTCTGGGATTGGCATCGGGTGGTAGTCTTGTAAAGATTTATTCTGTTGTTCCAGCAATTTCTCCAGCTCGATTAGTCCAAAGTTCTTCTTCTCTTCTTCAGTTAGAAACAAATCTGTTGTAAAAAAAAAAATAATAAATAATATTATTTACATTAATTTGAAAAGTGTAGTATGAGACATATTTTATACCGGGTTGTTGTAGAATCCTTCTCTGAACATGTTGAGCATCCTAACACAAATATTTCCACACCTCATTCCATACATATTCTGGCCTAATGATGCAACTCGATGTCAAAAGCACTACAAACAACTTCCTTAATGAGTGAGCAGTTGACCAAAAGCTTGCTTCTACTATAGCATCAATGTACTCTTTATCGTCATCCAACATGCCTTGAGCATAACATGCATCCCTAAATGTATCATACACCACCCCATTATGTGTCCTAATATGTTCAAAATTTTCGGGACCACGTACTATGTTCAATAAGCACCTCAAATAATATAACTCACCAGATGCTGGTGGAACATAGAATATTCGACCGATAGCGAAACCCTTCTTTCTTGGATGCCATTCACGGATGTCCTTTTTCCAAACAAATTTTGTGGGCATCTCTATGTAACTTAACTGTTTCGCCTGTGGGTACTTTTTGTTTGCTATGAACCATCCATTGAACATACTTTGTGCAACTGACTCCCTATTCAAAACGTGATTAATGTTATCATCGTCTTGAAAGACAACTGATTGGCAATCCGGTAAGTGAAAGCTTAGCCTCTCAACAGGTGGTGTGCGATACTGTACCTCAAAACTAAGTAAGCGCCAAGTTGCCTCACAAGCAGAAATGTATCGGCAATCGTAGTACATGTTGATTTCATCTACAACTTCATTACCGATGTCATCAGTCGTGGTCTTATAAAACTCAGCTGTAACCCGGTCATTACCTTTGTTGACGTACTTGAACAAATACTTGATTGACCGTGATTGGTTACACCATTCCACATTAATGTGGGCTCTGTACTTCAATAGTAGATATCGATTATGAGGTACAATATACCTGTTATCAAGCTCTATTCCACTCTTTTTCACCATTCTATTGTCATTTCGTCTACGGTACAACGGGTACCCATCTTGATCAAACTGAGATGAATCAAGGAATCTCTTGGGGAAATGTTTAGAGCACTTATCATTTACCATACACGGTGAATTTGTTTTGTGGTGTCCGCAAGGTCCATGAACCATGAATTCTTCAACAGCTGTATAATATAGCAAGTCAGTAACCTTATCTGGAATCTCAGCTGAAATGATGGTGTCCATGAATGTTGGGCTAGAGAAACCATCATGCTTTTGAAGGAACAACAATATATGTGCATGTGGTAAACCTCTTTTTTGGAATTCGATTGTGTAAATAACTGCAAAAAAAAAAAGAAAAAAAAAAAAAAAAAAAAAAAAAAAAAAAAACGAAATATAATAAGTGGATTTTACGTGTTTGCATTATAGCACACTTAAAAAAAAATATTATAATGTACAATAATCTATACCAGCTTTAACGTGACCAAATAATTCCCCTTTCTTAATCTCTTTGATCATTGAATCTAATTTCATCTTGAATACACGACAAACTATGTCGGGCCTATCTTCTACCTTCAAGTTCCTTTTGTCCAAAAACCGCTTTATCTCAGGCCATTTGGGATTGCATGTGAATGTAATAAATAGGTTTGGATAACCTATAAACCTACAAATAGCCATAGCATCTTGATAGTTTTGTATCATGTATCTTGCACCGCCGGTAAAACTTGACGGTAATATGATTCTTTTTCCTTGAGTGCTGGGTTCAATCTCACCTCGGGTCAAGGCATCTGAGAGGCCTTTGTATGCCTCACATCTCAACGCTTTTTGATTTGACCTTATATAACACAACCTTGAAGATTCAACCATTGTATACGCATCGACTAAGAATTGCTGGAATAACCTCTTAGCATATAGTAGAGTTGATATCTCAGTTAACCTTTCATGGACACGAAAAGCAAAATACTCCCTTTGCGAGACACTCTTTCTTGACCAATTGTGATTACTAATTGTTGTTGAAAACCTAATGTCCTCCCTAAATCCATCCTCGCCAAAAGGGAATAAAATTGGATATTGCAATGGCAAATAGGCTGGGTTTAATTCACTAATTCTTTTCAGTCCTCCAGTTTTACACTCCACTACAATGTCCCGTTCACCCATTGATGGCTCTATGTCTCCTACTATTAGAGCTGCAACCTCAGACGTTGTTGGTAACGAATAAGTACGTGCATCTGTAGCCCTCCTGCCTATCAACCTCATCTTAATCTCAGATGTGTCATTACAATCAAGAAAGTTCTTAGCCATACGGAATGATTTGACAAAAACATTATTGTGGTCTAAAACATCCTTAATGTCAGCTACAACTTCTCGATGTAGATCCGCTTGATCGACATTAGTTCTACAAAAAATTCAATATAAACGATTACAAATATTACTAAAGAAGTGTATAATTTGGAGTTTTAATAAAAATTAATATTAATGTTTTGGATTTGTTATACCTAACACACTTGATGCGATTTTCAATTTCATTTTGTGTGTCGTGAATATAAAGTTGCGCAAACTTTGGTTGTACTCCCGGAGTGGGTAAAAGACTTCCAATGCGATGAAAGTTCTGCCCATTAATACGAAATATTGGTGGTGCAGCACCATTATTAATTGACCTATCCACTTTACCACCCATCGATGTGAAGCAAAACATATTATTATACGATCTTATATTTTGCAAGAAACATTTGTTTTTTTCGCTTGGTACAAAGAACAAATCATGTAACTTATTTGGTGGCTTTATCATCAACGGCAACACTATTTTTCCATGTACACAGCAACTTGAGTACTTTGGATTTGAATTTGGTTTTGACTGTGATGATCGTTCATTTGACCAGAAAATGGCACCACAGTACTCACACTCAAATTCTGGTTCTCCATGATCTAGATATTCAACTGTAAAAAATACATTCAAATATATAAAACTAAATCATATAATCTTGATTATATAGAGTTAATTTTATTACAAATAATAATTACTAATTGAAGATACTTGGCGTACCATTGGATGATAGGTTTTGCCCATGTATAGGTTCAACAACCTCTTCAAATTCAGAAATTAGATTTCGAATGTGTGGAACTGTGTTTAACTGTATCTGGTTTGTCGTTCCTTTGTTACCGTCTGTTGTAACACAACCATTCGCCTCGAAAACTATCACCATCGTAAACATAAATATTAGGGTACGTTATACGAATGTTATAATCATGGGGTAATATTTTAGATTTGTATTTGACGGGTTTTTACCAATTTCCTCCTCGCTATTAGTTGGCGACAGATTCAGGTCAAATGTATGAATGTGGTGCTTCTTCGGTGGTGATTTGTCCATTAAATCAACAACTTCGTCACAATAAGCTATAAAAGTTTCAACCAAGTTACTATTGTTATTTGACTAAAAAGAAAGCATATTTTAAAAATTAGTTTTTATGAAAATTGTTATTATTAATATCTCAATACTAACAATTTGTAATATTGCTTAAAGGTTGCCTGTAATTGCTTGTTTGACCCAAGGTGTAACACATTGATGGTATTGTAGAAGTAGAACCTGTAATAAAAAAAAAAAGACATTTATCTGTACATATAAATTTTAGAGATAGTTCAAAAAAAAAAAGTAATATGACTTCCGTTCTATATATCAAAATTGTTTCAGACACTTGCTCACCATTTGTAACAACACTAAAAGGTGTTGAAAGTGTATTTTGAAAGACACCGAATACTTGCGTTCTATTAGACGGTTGTCCAAACTGATTAGTTAACGTTGATTGTGAACCTTCGTTGGGTGTGAAATGTTCGTTCTCTGCATATTAGAACATGAATGTTAAAAGTAGTCATATACACGGTATAAATTAGTATGCTAACATATTAAACTTTAATTAGATAAAACATTACTAAATTTTGGATCAATAATTACACTTTATCAAATTCGAAACAAATAATAAATCCATATATCTCTAATTACATTCGTGAACAAAAGTACATGAAATAGTCCAGTTTATATAGATTATGTATAATGTATAAAATCATCAAAATAATATTTATAAACAGCCAACACAGTTTAACACTATATAATATAGATATTATAAATACAGAAATAAAAAATAAAAAAATAAATAAAAAAAAAAAACAAACAAACAAACGCAGCTCTCAGTCCTCACAGTTGGGTCTTTGTTGACCTTACCTCCACGCTCAGATGTGGTAAACACTTACAAATGAGAATGTTCATCTCATCTCATCCGAGCGTTTATCGCACTGAGAGTAATGGTCTTTGTTGGCTTATCTGCTTCAATCCGATCCCTTGCTAAATTTATGAGATGAGAATGATACTCTCATGTCAAACCCAGCGTACGCAGTATAGCTTTGCATCTTCTCTGTACATTTCAACCTATTTCCCTAAATTATTTTGCAGATTATGCTGTATCTGCTCGTACCCACACGTCGTTCGTATGTAATATACCCAAATCAGGGTCGATTACATACGACTTCTCTACCGATTTGGAAACCCTAGACTCGGTTTGGTGTGCTCGGAGAATCAGCAGTAGCAAAATTGGAAGCAGAAATCGTATATTTGTAAGTTGTAGTTCGAAATTCAATTAAACCTTTAACATAGGATTTCTGCTAAAATTCGATTTTGTCTCACAAATTATTTTACTTAATAGACAATCTACAACCCAGAAATTTGACACTTAGAATCATGCATCTAAACCCTATAATCTAGTTTATTTTGTTCTTTAACTTCCGATCGGAACATGCAAATGAAGCGTATGTAAATTTTATTCGGTGATTTTTTTATTTTTTTTTTCAGTTTCCTAAAAATCGAAAATATTGTTTTGTCTACAGGCAAGTGTTGCTAAGTGGAGCAGAGAGCTTGTGAAACAGATAAGTTTTACTAATATATTCTATTTGTAATCTCGTTATTTGATAGTGTATGTCCAGCATAAGATGTGTTTTACAATATGAGTAATTACATGCTTCTACTAACTATTTCATACTGTATGAAAAGAATTTTAAGGGGACACACCTTTTGTTTGACGACACTGTTTCCTCTTGGAGCCAATAGTGCATGATGATGTAATTTTCCTCATGTTCTGAAATAAGAATGCTTGAGATTCTGTGGTTTTGATGGGAATGCTTTACCTCCTGTATTATTTGTTGGATGAGAGTATTGTGTTCACAGCAGTTTTGTAAATCCCATTTGAAATAATTGTTTGTGTATTTATATAGGAGGTGCCATGGTTTCTATTGAAAAGAAAGACATTAGTCCTTAATTATTCATGTTATCAAGCACATAGGGAAGGTAAAAGGTTTTGTCAGCTCTCTCAATTAATTTTTTGAAGCTGAAAGGTTAATGTTTTTTAATTAGAGTTTTATATATTTAGTTGGTGTGGCTGGTAACATATCAGTGAATATATATTTATTTGGTCATGTTATACTGTAAATGGACGAAACCATTATCTTCTTACTAATGTGACTTTGGTTTTGCAGTGAAGGTGTTCGGGTCATATATGTGACATCTTAGATGACCCAAGTTTAAGTTCAGTAAACATATAGACTATGCACAGTGAAGGTGTTGGCGTCACAGATTTGATATCTTAGTTAAGGCACTGCTAATGTAAGTTAAAAAATGTTTATTGAATCGTGAGTTTATAGGTGTTTAGCAGTAATATTTACTAATTTTCAAGACATGTTGCACATTAAGGTGTATTCGTCAAAGGTGGCTGACCTTAAATCATTCAATTTAAAAGTGAAGTCACTGAACAGGTAATGTTAGAGATGGATTTGTAAATTTCTACAATTAATGCTATAGTATAACCTTGCCCTCAGTTATGCTTATCAAAATAGCTTTTTGCAGGACTTTTTCGAAACCAATCACAAACTAATTTTCAAATAGAGCAGGTCATGTCACTTTCCTAATTTGCAAACTGTATTTAGAAATTGACGAATTTTATGTGAACTGATCTCAAACTTAATTTTTTTTTGCAGTGAAGGTGTTGGTGTTACAGATCTCTGATCCTAGATGACACAAACCTAAACTTGGGCCCCAAGATAGTATACAGTTCATATGTTTCTACTGCTAGGTAATTAAGCTACATTTCTAAACCAAATTGTGAGTTTAGAAGTGTTTTCCAGTAATGTTAGTTTACTACATTTCAACACAGATTTTAAATGAAATCTTTAATATGTCAAATTTTTTAAGTTGAGTTTGTATTTTGCAGTGAATCTATTGGTTTATACAACCTGAAGTATTGACTGATCCTAAAGTATACTTCGTAACCATGTGAATAAGCAGAACAACTCTAAATGTTTAGATGTGAGTTTGGACCATGTTCTTTTAAGACTCAAGTTAAAATATTTAATTTTTATCACTGACTAACCTCAATTGTGACAATTTACTTAGCAGGATGATCGAAAGTCGTGACTTTTGAAAGGATACAGACTGCAATATGTTATTCCCAGGAAAAGCAGGTAAAATTTATTTGTTATGTTATTTTGTACATACTTTACTGTGTATGTGAGACATTTTCAATTTTTTTTGTGTTGCCAAAATCTGTTATACGTGTTTCCTTGCTTTTAATAGTTAATTTTTTATTTTATTGCATGTCCAATGAAAGCTTATTTCCAATTAAAAAACATGTTGCTGCAAGAAAGTTTTTTTTTTTTAGGGTAACACTTCATTGACTACTTGTGGTTAAGATACAAAACGTATAATGTTCTATATCTAAATAGAACTTATATAGATTATTCTAGATATTCTAGAATACTTCCTAACAATCTAGTAACTTGTTGTTTCAACTTCATGCACACCATATGTTCCTTGAACTTGATTCGCATGGCTATCTTCTGATGAACAACATCTTTGTGTTTGTTTTCTATCTTTGAACTCCAGCTACCTGCAAAAGTATAACAACTTTGAAAAAACATTAGGATTAACTACCAATTATATTTGCTGAGATAGAAAAATTTTCCAATTAACAAACATGTGAGTTCAAATATTAAAATAGAATACTCTAGGAATAGTAGTGAAGTCCTGCAAAATATATAAAATGCAAAGAAAGTTCTCCTGGCAAAAAGAGCATCTCAAGGAGAAAATAAATACATCAATAGTTAGTGTGTCCAAAGTCTCACATCCAAGACCATACTTAGAAACATTGTCCAGATAGGGCCTACCACTTAGGCCAAAAACACTGTTTACATTGTTCAAACAGTTTCAAGATTCCTTCAATTTTTCTAATTTCACAACAACTTCCTTTGATTTTTTTGAGCTTTGGGTACTTGAAAATTCATCCATCAAAGACCTTTTAACTGCTCCTGCTTCATACGCATCACCAGTGAGATTAATGGGAATAGCCTGTAGAGGACTCTCGGCTTCATTGACATTCAGTTCATCCTAAACAAACATTTAAGTTGTATATGTTAGATATAGAAATGTTGAGACCATAGTTAATAGGCATCTAACAATAGTTATGACTAATAAATACCTCATCCTCCCAAAGGTCATCTTCTGTAAGCTCAAATTCCATCTTAGAGTTAAGATCTTTATCCCTTCCGAGCATCAACTGTGGGGCATGTAACTCTAACATTTCCACATCATTGATAATCCTCATCACAGAAAAGGCATTTAGGAGGTTTAGAAATTGTTCCCTTCGCACCGCAATTCTGAAAATTAGGTTTAGGCCAACCAATGCTTGAATCTCAGCAGGAACACCATCTTTTCCCTATAGTATAAAGGATATAAGTTGAATAGTGGTACATGTTCATTGAGCCAATTCAAAATAAAATAAGTTAAGAAATTAGGTTAGTGTAATGTGGTACCTGAGAATTTTTCTGTTTCAAATCCAGTGCACTCAACCCTAACAACTCAGTGCATTCCCTATCCCACATGACAAAGGGAGCATTTCCTTTGATGTCTACAACCCTTATCTTAATCCTATACCTCAAGATCCCATCTCCCCAAGTCCTATCACATTCTTTGCAATATAGGAACTCTTTTTTGGGCTCCAACTTCTTGTAGCATGATTTTGTCCGACACGATGGATAATACCACTCCCCATCGCAGTCAATAAAAACTATTCGAGCAGCTACCCAGAACTCACCAAACTGAATCATATATAAATAAATATTATTTAGCAGCAAAACTAAGATGTTAGCCATTATTACTTAATTAGATTAATATTTAGCAGCAAAACTAAGATGTTAGCCATTATTACTTAATTAGATAGTGAGATAGTTTTCATACCTCCTTCTTTGCATACACTTCTGTCAATGTTCTTAATTGCAAATCCTCCTTTAGGGATACAGTGTATGAACTTCCAGGGTTGAAACTGGACTGTGAAACAATACTCCTCATCGGAGTTTGTTCAAGGCACAAACTGTTGGAATAATTATATTAGACACAATCTTAGGTGATTTGATTTTTGACAGAAGTTAAAAAATAACAACCAAATATTTTTAGTAGTTAAACAGTAAATTTGTTTTACATACCTTTCTCTAAACTGCATGAACTCTGGGGTTTGTTGATTGAATAGGAGTTGTGTAACATCATATGATGAACAGATTTTTATATCACCACCTAAATATCAAAAAAAAAAAAAAAAAAGTGTTAAAGCAAATTTAGAGAATACTTTTTAAAAAATAATAATTGAAGTCAAGAGATGAGTAGTTACTTTTCAAGCAGGTTCTAGCTCTACAGAACTGTATTAAAACCAAAAGTGGTTCTTCAGTAGCAGAATTGTAGTACACCTCCACTTTGTTTACATGGTCATCCCATACAGTACAACCCAATTGAATACCACTGTAAATACATTTAGATGTTAGGTAAGGCTGCAAACACTTTAGGAATAGGAAAATACATTTATAGATCTAGAAAATTAGACACATACTCTGAATCTTCAATTACAAAGTCGATCAACCTTGCGTTTTTGCCATTGATTACCTTTTCTTGGGGAGCATGTATCTCTACCACACGGCCAATTACATCTAACACATATTTTTACAATGGAAAGTGTAACGTTAGTAAAAGAATTAAAATTTTTTAAAAACTATACTAATAATATAACCTTACCAAATAGTTGCTTCTCATCAACAGATTGATTAGCTTTTAGTGCCTTGAAATCCATCAATCTGTACATGTGCATTGGGAAATTTGTACCGTTCAACTGTTTTACAACAGTTTGATAATTGAATTTTATCATGAATTTATGTGGGCTGGTCTTGAAAGAGTAGAAATTAGTGATGACCACAAAGTTCTTAACACCATACACTTTTCCTTCTGTAAAAGTCGACTGGAATTTCTCTACAAATTCCTTGGGTATGTGGGCATGTAAAAAAGTGCCCTGTAAGCAATTAGAACTGATGATTTTAGATTATGATGTAATAGTTAGTAATATTCAATAGTTTTCGAGATTACACAGTACATTTCAACAAAAAATTACCTGCTGATCATGGAAGACAACTTCTTTGGATTTGAGTACGGGAGACGGCTTCCTCTCTTGGATGTCATACGCCCTCACAGTTCGCAAACGCAGGGCGTTGCGTGTATTCATTGGGGATATATCACTTGCAAGAACGTACATTGTTGGCTGCTTGTATCGACTGAAACTTGAGCTATTACGTGCAGTTGAGCGTGTGAGATCCGAAGATGAACAATGGTTTTGATCATGCTGAGACTGTTATTTAAATATCGATGGCCTGCACTTCATTGGAAGAAGCAATTCGGCGTAATGAATATGTAAACATAATTGTTTACATAAATAGCTTATCGGAATTCGCAGAGACCAACCTATTTCAAATTAGGTCTTTAGTTTGATTGGTTGAAATTGATTTTGTAAGCCAAAAATAAAAGGAAACAATTTTTTTTTTTGTAAACTCTTCGGTAACTGAACGGTCTCACCTGGATTCTTACGCATTTCAATTATTACTCCCGTATAATGGAAACGACAGCGTTTCATTTGGGCGGGAACTTTTTGACCTATGTTATTTTGCTTTAATATATATAGAGATAACTAATAATATATAAAAATATTACGGTGGTGGTGGTGGTGTTATTTGTTATATAATAATAATAATAATAATAATAATAATAATAATAATAATAATAATAATAATAATAATAATAATAATAATAATAATAATAATAATAATAACTGGTGGTGGTATGACGGTGGTGGCAGTGGTGATGGTGGTGGTGATGGTGTGGTGGCGGTGGTTGCGGTGGTATGGTAGTGGTGGTGGTGGTAGCGGTGGTGGTGGTGGTTGTGGTGGTTTGGTCGTGGTGGTGGCGGCGGCGGCGGTGTGATGGTGGTGGTGGTGGTGGTTGTGTGGTGGTGGTGGCGGCGACGGTGGTTGCGGTGGTATGGTGGTGGCGGCGGTGGTAGTAGTGGTGGTGGTGTGATGGTGGTGGTGGTGGTGAGGACGGTGGTGGTAGTGTGGTGGCGGTGGTATGGTGGTGGTGGTGATGGCGACGATGGTTGCGGTGGTATGGTGGTGGTGGTGGTGATGTGATGGTGGTTGCGGTGGTATAGTGGTGGTGGCGGCGGCAGTAGTGGTGGTGATGGTGGTAGTGAGGTGGTGGTGGTATAGTGTTGATGATGTTGGTGGTGGTGTGATGTTGGTATAAAAGTTGGAAAATGACTTCCCCAAAAAAATGGGAAAGTCATTTTCCTCCAAAAGAAGGCTATTTTCCAAAGTCAACGGAAAATAATTTCCGTTGACTTGATTTTCCAGGAACATCCAAACAATGGAAACTTGAAAAATGATTTCCAGAACTCATTTTCCAGGTTTCCAAACCTTAATCTTGTATTGGGTTTTGTCCTTTCCCTACAATGTTTCACCTTAATTTTTTTTTTTCCAAAGATTTATATATACATAGAAATAGTATATAAGAGAATTGCTTTTGACAATAAAAATAAACACAAAAATTTAAAAGTAAAATTAAAACTAAATATTACATCATGAATGATGCAACATTCACATGCTAATATAGTCAATTTCCCATTTATAAGTTTTAAGTATTAATAGGAAACTAATTAATATATTCAAATGAATTTAATTTGGAATATACCAACGAAAATATGCAACACTTATTAAAAGAACAATATTAAAAGAAAGACCATATATGTACCTAATGTACGTACGTATGTGTGTGTAACACACATAGATTATTTACTATCAAAATTAAATTGTAAATAATTTGAATTAATTTTTGTTAATGGAATCAAACACAAAATGAACAATGGAGCGTGAGGATTAGCAATGGAGCGTCCTAGCTGGGTTGTTCTTTCTGGGTCTTTTGCCCTCTTCTTTACGTCCAAAAAAAACACAAACTGAACAAATGAGGTATGTTTAATTTAAAGCATACTATTATATATTGACGTTAAATAATGAAATCTAAGTAATATTAGTTTGATATAATTTTTTTAAAAGTGCAAATGTTACATTCTATTTTCTATATTTAAAAGATTACACATATACAATTATAATCAACCATGTTTAGTAAAATATTTAATTATATTATTAAAAAATACATAATAATAATAATAATTAAAATCAACTAATAATTAATAAATGACGACTCTGCATATTTAGTAAAATCTTTAATTATATTATTAATAAATCAACAATCATAATTAAAATTAAATGATAAATGTTAAATCACAACTTTGTTTAGTAAAATTTTAATTATATTATGAATAAATCAATAATCATTATTAAAATCGATTGATAATTTTTAAAGGAAAGAGAAGGAGAAAACCAGCATACCTTAGGGTTTTACTGCAAGTGCAGAAACAAAAGTAGTCCTCTGATCTGCAACAAAATTGCCAGGACAATCAACAAGTAAATTCAAGATAAAAAAAAAAAAAAAAACAAAGATTTTATATTATAGAAAATGGGAAATGGATAAATCAAAATCAAATTAATTACTAGACCAACTAAAAACATCACAACAACAAAGAGGAAAATGAAAATTAGGCTGGAAAAAAGAGTACAAGGAATCAAAGGCTGGAAGAGTATTCCTAGAATCTCACACCAAACGAAATGAAGATTGAAGAACATTAATCAAACATTAATGGAATAAATTAAATTAGAGCAAGAACTAGAAAAAGTTCAATTCAAATGAAAATGAGGACTCACCAAAACACCGTTTAAGAAAATAATAACAATAAGTAATGACGTTTGAGCAAGGCACGCTATATATAAGAAGTTGTTAGGAATATAGCGGAATAATACGGAAGCGAAGAATCGAAAATTGAGAATTATAGAAGTTGAATAATAGAGAAAATATGTAAACGAAGAAAATTATATAAATGACAAAAAGAATTAATAAAGTGAGAAATATAAAATATATATATATATATATATATATATATATATATATATATATATATATATATATATATATATATATATATATATATATATATATATATACACGTATGCTACGTGAAGACAAAAGAAAGAAGAATAATCAATTCTAAATTGATGTAATGATGAGTGATTTACAAAGCAGCAAACCTAATCTATTTATACAATGAAATTTAAAGAGAAATAAGGGAAATGCATGAACCTCCACAAAGCTAGGTGAACATGCAAGAAGAGGGACCATGATGCATGCAATGTGGAAGGAAGTGGTCTCATGGATTTTGAGCCACAAATTATTATTTCCTAACAATCTCCACCTTGGATCAAATCCATTGTGGAATTAACAACTGGAACATCCGACTAAATTCAAGCACTGCTTGAACTTAGCAACAGGAAGAACCTTAGAATAGCAGGACGGATCACCACCAACTTCCTGTGTGACTGAAAGAGCATAAGCAACCATGTTGGTTTCATCATCACTAGCATACCTAGCAGGTTTTTTAATTGTCCTCCTAGGACGATCCATAGCAATGGAATACTCTCGTTGTGGCTCGACGAGAGGTGTTGTGCTAGTAGATGCATCATCTTTAGTATTACCATCAGCAGTAGTAACACTATCAATAGGCCTGAACTCAAACTCCACCTTCTCACCAGTACTCTGCGTCTCACCTGTACTGGGAACTTTTCCAGAAGAAAGTAGTGCATTTTCGTCAAAAGTGATATCTCGACTCAGAATGATTTTCCGAGAATCAGGAGACCATAGACGATACCCTTTTGACTCAGAGGCAAAACCAAGGAAAATGCATTTGACAGCTCTCGGGTTTAATTTACCCGTACTGGAATGAGCATAAGCAGGACATCCAAAAACTCTTAAGATAGAGTAATCAACAGGATTACCTGACCAAACTTTCTCTGGAATTTTGAAATCAAGGGATAAATGTGGAGATCTATTTACCAAATAGCAAGCAGTAGAAACGGCATCGGCCCAAAAATCACGCCGTTTCCATAACCCAGCATTAGAGAGCATACAACGAGCTCTTTCCAATAGAGTCCTGTTCAAACGTTCGGCAACACCATTCTGCTGGGGTTTACCAGGCAAGGTCTTGTGCCTGGCAATTCCATTTGCCGCACAAAAGTCATTGAAATCTGACTCACAGAACTCCAAGCCATTGTCTGTCCTGAGCTTCTTGACTTTTTTACCTGTCTGAGTCTCAACAAGTATTTTCCATTTCTTGAAAATAGAAAATGCTTGATTTTTATGTTTCATGAAATAGACCCAGACTTTACGAGAAAAGTCATCAATAATAGACATAAAATATCTACAGCCTCCCATAGACTGGAATTTAGTCGGTCCCCATAAATCGGAATGTATATATTCCAATACATCTTTGGTACGGTGTGTAGCAGTAGAGAAACTAACCCTCTTTTGTTTCCCAAAAATACAATGCTCACAAAATTGTAATTTACCCGTACCTGAACCACCAAGGAGGCCTTTTTTGCTCAGGAGATGCATGTCTTTCTCACTCAATGCCCTAGACGCATATGCCATAATTGAGTGAGATCCGCATCAGACATCGATGAGGATACCGCTACTGAACCCGTCACAGTACTGCCATGCAAGACGTACACGCTTCCAGAACGAGAAGCTTTCATGAGAACAACAGAGCCTTTTATGACCTTCAAAACTCCACCTTCAGCTATGTACTTGTACCCCAGAGATTCCAAGGTGCCCAACAATATCAGATTGCGTTTCAAATCAGGAATATACCGAACATTGGTAAGAGTCCTGATAACGTTATCATGAGTTTTAATCTGCACACTTCCAATTCCACTAACCTTGCATTGGGTATCATTACCCATCAAGACAACTCCACCATCAACCGGTTCCAGAGAGACGAACCAGTCTTTGTGAGGACACATGTGGAATGTACAACCAGAGTCCAGAATCCACTCGGTTTCGCTCCGTTTGCAATCGGAGCTAACAGATAACAAAACATCGCCTTCTGAATCACTTTCAACAACACTAGCTTCAGCGGACTTCTTTTCTCTCTCTTGCTTGTTTTTCAACTTGAAGCATTCAGTCACATCATGACCATGCTTCTTGCAGTACTTACAGGATTTGTTGGACTTTTGTCCTTTGGACTTGGATCTAGAATTTTTATTGCTACTCCCTGATTCAAGTGAACGACCCCTTACAGTCAAGCCTTCACCTTTG